ATTTTTCTCTCAAATATGGTCAGACATTTTTTTTCAACCACTTGGAAGATATGTCCCAGTTTTGAAGGGAAAGTTGATTTAACTGTTCTTACAAATGCTGGTACTTTAAGAGGGATCATTGAGAAAATATGTGATTCTAAGTCTCTTTGGGAAATCATTATGTCTCTCTGCCAGGTTTTGACTCTTTTGAACTGATAGAATTTTTAGGTACCAGTCTTCCTGAACTGGAGACAACTAAAACCCATTGCCATTTTCTATTACCCTTCTTAAGAGAAGTTGCACTTGAGGTTCCTTTTTTAACTTTATAGTTCTCTCTCTGGCCCTTTGCTTCTGTCTCTCCTTCATATTGGCTTAGTCTTTTTTTTTTTTTTTTTTAAGATTTCAGCGTTTCTTTCAAGGAGATATATATCTCAATATTCAGTTTGACATCTTCTATTTTATTTTCTTATTTCATTACCCATATTCTGATAGTAAGAAATAGAGTTCTTTTTCAGACTACTTTAGTTTCTTCTTGATTCTCAGGAATTTCAGAGCTAGGACTAGCAGCCTGTTAAATTTCTTTCTCAGTTTAGGACATGTAATAATCTCATGCACTTACTTCTCTGCCTCAGCCAATGAAAACAGCATATTTTCTTAATATAAAGACTCCCCATTATTTTTAATTTAAATATTAATAAAACTAACTTTCCTCTTATGATTGAAACCTTGGTTTGAATCTCTGAACTCTAGCCATCAGAGTTTCTTTAACTATAAAACTTGGAGCCTACTTGACACTGTTTTGTTGAGGTGACTAAAGTGTATGGATATTCGAGTTTGTTCTTATCTTCCTTTGTTACTGTACAGTCACTTCAAAATAGCACACACACACACACACACACACACAAAGGAACATAATCTAGTAAATTTAGAACATTGTTTGAATGTGAGTTAAGATTAGGGATCTTGCTTTTCTTGTCACTTGTGTGTCAATCACTTGTTTAGGTATTACACACACACAAACACCCCAATATGCCAGATATTTATGGGGCTGGAACAAGACAATAATGATGACTCAATGTATTAGTTAGGTATGGTTGCCCTAAAATGCATTATAAATCGAGTAGGTTAAACAATAGATTTGTTTTTTTCTCGCAGTTTTGGAGACTTTTACTAGATGGGTTGTTTTCTTCTGAAAGATGTGAGGGACAGTCTGGCTGATGCTTGTCTTCTAGTTTCAGGTGGTTTGCTGGAAACTTTTGGCTTTCTGTGGCTTGTAGATGTATCATCCCCATCTCTACCTTTGTGCTGATGTGGCATTCTCCCTGTATACAGGTCTGCATTTGAATCTCCCCCTTTATAAGAATACTAGTCATATTGGATTGGGCTCACTGTGCTCCATATGACCTACGCTTAACTCATTAAGTCTGCCAAGACCCTGTTTCTAATGTCACCCTGTTTCTAATGTCACCTTCTGAGGGTCAGAATTCAGCATAAGAATATTGGAGATTCAATCTATAACACCCACACACCATCTGCCTTAATTTAGATGCTATAGGGAAAAAACTAACAAGCTGTTAAATACAATGTTTTAGTCTCCACTTACAAGAAATATACCTTCATAAACACCTGGAAGATAGGTTTCAATACAAAATTCTTAGATTCTTTGGAAATCCATGCTGGATTATCCACAGTAGAATAAAAAGGGCTGGTCCCAGTTCTGAACCTTCTAGTATGCTCTACTTTTTCTTCCTGCCCCTGGCTCCCTGGCTTCCTCATGTTCCTTGGGCAGCCTCATGTGCATGTTTGTGGACATGTTCAAGCTGCACCCACATCCTTTGTTTCCTTCAATCACCCCTAGAGCCTCCCATTGCTCTCACAGGTAGTGCAGTCTGATTTCAGGTGAGTGGACCCAGAGAGAAAGACTGCAATGGCTGTTGGGACCATGAATTCTGGGATCCTCATCTCTTGACCGTGGTTTAGAGTGAGAGCTCTGCATGTGACAAAGAGTCAAAACTGGAGGACGCAGGATTATCCATAGACAGGCATCAGGGCAAGGACTCCTCTTTCTTGTATCTGAGGCTATACTGTCAGGGAACAAATCCTCTGTAGTCTTAGGAGTTCTTGTCTACTGAAGGAAGACAAAATGTAAATGAAAAGCAAACCAAAGAAGTAAATACATAGAATGCTCAAAGGTGACAAGTGCATAAAAAAAACAAAAACAAAAAAATGAAGCTGAGTAGGAAGGATCTGGTGTGTGTCTGGGGACAGTTCAGATGGCAGCATCATACAGAATGGTCTGATGTTGGAGACACTTGAGTGCAATGGAAAGTGGATATATGGGACAAAAGCACATTTTGGGAAGAAGTTCCTGGTTGATCAAAGATCTCAAGGATGAGCCATGCCTGGAGTGCTCAGGGGATAGAAAGAAGGCCAACGTTGCCTGAGTGTTGTGAGCACAGAAAGATATAATAAGAGTCACAATCAGAGGGATTGCTGATGGGAGGTCAGATCACATAGGGCTTTTAGGTTATTTTAAAGGCTTGGCTTTTACTTTGAGATTAGAAGCCCCTGCAGAGTCTTGAGCAGAAAAATGGCATGATCATTCTGGTTGCTATGTTGAGAATAGACTCTAATGGGGGCAGGGTAAACATAGAAACTGTTTAGAAGGCAATTGTAGTAATCCAGGACAAAGATGATAGCCATAAGTTGAACCAGAGAGGCAGCAGGAAGAAAGTGATCAGTGGTTATTGGGTTAGGGATATATTTTGAAAGTAGAACCAATGGGAGTTCCTGATGGATCTGAGTGCATATGCATAAGTATATGCAAACATACCTATATTTATATAGATACACACAGAGAGAGAGATTAAGGATGGGTTTGAGATATTTATTTATTTATTTATTTTTAATAGCAAGGATGGATTTGCTAACAGCTAAGAAGGAAAAGGCTATGGATAAAACAGGTTTGGAAGAAAGGTCAGGAGTATAGTTTTGGAAATACTGAATATGGGATATTACATAGGTAACTGGATAGTCAATCTGGAATTTAGGAGGGATTCTGTGCTAGAGTTACACAACGGGGAATCCACTGGCATATGGATATTTAAAACCTTGAGAACAGGTAAGACCACTAAGGGGTGAAACTCGATGGAGAAGAGGACCAACAAATGAGACCTGGGACACCCAATGTTGGAGAAGAGGGACTTTTTCACAGAAGACTGTGAAGGGGAAAGCACAGGAGGATATCGGTGTCCAAAAAAACCAAGTGGAAAAGATATATTGAGGAAGATAAAGTTATTGATTGTGGTAAATATCATTGATAGCTAAAATCAGATTAGGATTGAAATTGGCCTTTGGGTTTAGCTACATGGAGGTTTACAGTGACTTTGACAGAAGTGGTTCTGTTGAAGTATTGGGACAAACATCTGCTTGTAGTGGTTTTGAGAGAAAATTAGAGAAGGGAAACTGGAGATTGTAGAGGAAACCATTTTGATGAATTTTGCTGCACAAAAGAGCAGAACAATGGATCAACATTTAGAGGAAGTGGGGAAATGAGAAGTATTCTAGGATAAATAACATCATGGTTGCAGGCTGTATCTAATAGAGAGTAAAGAAACAATGATTTAGTAGAAGGGAATTCCAATAGTAGTATTTTTGAGTGAGTCAGAGGAGATGGGGTCAAATGGACAAGCTGAGCTACTGGTTTGGGGTAAGAGCATGGGTAGTTAGTTCTCTGGTATTTAGTAGGGAGGTGAAGCATGGAATATGCTCATGTGAGTAGATGCAGTAATAATGGAAGTCTGGGAGGTTTTCTTTGATCCTAATTTCTAAGTGAAGTAGGAAACAAAATCATCAGCTGAGAGTGAGGATTAAGAGAGGAGGTGCTGAGGTTTCAGGTGAGTGGAGGGTGTATAATTACTGTCTAGCAGAAAGGGAGAGTGAATGACGTAGGAACACACAGAAAGATTTTCAAGAAGCATTAAGGGCTTTGTGGACTTGCATCACATTGGCCTGGGTCAGATACTGAAATATTTTTCAATGAACAGATATTTTTGTGTATATATGGTTAGGCAGATGACCAAACAAACTAGTTTAAATTTCTTTTTTATCCATACACAGCAAAACCTTAAATAAGCAAAGATTTTTAATTTTTTTTTTCAATATTTGAATGACAGGGACTTAAAACATATATCCCACTTGATTCTCTTGAGGAAATGGCACAGTGCCTTTGGTCATAACCTACTTTGCAGATGGAACTCTGTAGGATTATTTACTCAGGTCATGGTGACTAGGAAGATAGGTTCAGAAATAAGGAAACTGCTTCATGTGTAAAGATAAAAGGTTTTGATGAGAGGGGAGAGTTTCAAAGTTGGAGATCTTGGGTTTGGGTATAATGAAGTTGAAAATGTGACTACTCTTCTGAGTGGGAGGAATCCAATGACAATGTATTATTGGTATTGAAGAGAGTGAGAACTGCTGAACAAAGGAGTTTCTTCAACAATTGTACTTAAGAATTTAGGCATTTATATTATGGTTTTCCAAAAGAATATATAACTTTCCTAGAGCTTACCAATTCTCTCAATGAAAATGATTGAGAGTGGATATGTATATATATTTAATTTAATGTAAAAAATCTCATAAACTTAACTCTTGAATTAATTGATAAGATTTATTGATTTGATAGTATTTCTTGAAAAACACAAGTATTGCTTTTGACCTTGGGCAAACAAGACAAAATATGAAAATATGTTTGATTTAAACTATATATTAAAATTAATTCTTTTTATTATATTACACAATAAGCACTCCATTTAAGGAGAGAAGATTCTAAGAAAACAAGGAAAATGCAAATGGAGAAAAAACAACTCAAAAAGACTGATTGTGGTTTCTTTTTTTTTCTAATGTCCTTAATACCCTATGCTATATTTGACACTAAAGATGTCCTGCTTATGTGACAGAGAAACCTATAAGTGGAAAAATTATAAGTAGTTAATGAATAATGCATATTTTCATAGCAATGGTCAGATTATACTGTTTCCTAGGGGATACCATTTTTCTTCATTGAGTGGGACACTGCAGAGTTGGATGTTAATTGCTCCTACAAATACAGTTTTGCTCTTCACAATAAGCATTAAGACATGTCCTTGGAGCTCTGTGACTTCATCATATACCACCTGAAAAGAGAGAGGAAAAATGAAAATATGGCAGATGTGTTTAAATGCATCTCTTTTGAATATTACTTTTAATTCAAAAAACATGTAGCTGCTAATATCTTGTTCCCTGGAGTAGATAGGTTAATGTTAAAATCTTTCATTCCAAATGTTAATCTGAAAAGCTAAAGGTTCTACTAATATAATTGAATTAAATGACACACTATTTCTCTAACAATCTTAGAATTTACTGATTCCACTTAAAATCGCCTGCTCTAAATTTAGTGAAACTGTAAATTACTCCCTAGGAACAAATTTAAATACTCTTCACTTTTTAACTGTCCTTGAATTTACTGAGTAACATTGGAACTTTAACACCATCTTTCTGTGGAAGGCAAATGAGGAAATACAGATGAATTTCTACAATTCCCTTGTGCTACTTAAATGCAGTGCAACAATATTTCCTTGTACATATAAAGAAATCCTCTATGATGATTTTTTTACTTAAAATTGCTTAATTTTTAATTATGAACATAAATATTTATTCACCAAAATGTATGAAACTAACAAACAAAAAAACGAAGGAAAAATCTAAACTTCCACCAGGGAGATAATTACAGTTAACATTTGGATGTTCTTTTTGTTTTCTATATATAAGACTCTGACCTGTAATTATGCTGCATATGCAGTTTGTGTCTTGTTCTTTTTCATGTGATTATTTTTAAAAAGGGGATCTGTTTTCTAATATCCAGGAAGTTGCAGGCAGTATTAGGGAGCCTGCAGGGGCAAGGAGACGTTAAAAGTACAGTGCTATAGAGGCATCAGTTACCCTTCATGACAGGAGGGGAGGGCTGAGTGGAAATCTGACATGGTTGCCAGGGAAACTTCTGGGTACACATTTAGAAAAGGGAGATTCATATGTTGCTGCAAGCCTGCCTTTTACAAGATAGAAAGGAACTTTCACAATACACGCAAAATAGAAGCAGAGAAGACAACCTGAAAGGGAAGCCCGCCCTCCGAGTCAACTGGGGGCCTCCTCAGTGAGTGTGGATGTAGTTTCTGTACCTTCACACAGCACAGGCTACCATTTATGAACCCGTTAAGTTATCAATGAAATTCAGCTCCAGATCAATCTGTTAGCTGCCTTGGGCACTGATCCAAATTAGCCAAAAGGACATGAGATGCAATGTCATGTTCATCCAATCTATACTGCTCCGGGAGGGGGTCTCCTCTTCCAGAATCTTACTCATATTCCAGACAAAAATAAAATCTTTCCGTTTCTAGCATTGCTCACTCAGATTATTCCATCTCATTTATTAAGTTCTCCTGGGATAACAGAGGATTTTAAGGACTGCCTTAAAAAACATCTCAAAATCCTACCCCTGTAACTCACATTCTTTAACTACAACTAGCTACCCAATATGGCTGGGACAACTTTCCAGGATTTCAGAGTACACTCTTTTTTCCTTTTCTCTATAGTGGCCATCTTGAACAGTCAGAATTATCCTCCATTTTTCTTCCTATACCAATTTAAGCAGATTAACTCTTCCCTTGTTTTACAGAGAAAACAGGACAATCCTCTGTGCATGAAGTAGAAAAATGGGATAACTCCAAGCATTAGGCTTCTGGAAAAGTCTGGCTTATAGATTCTGTCAATTGTATAAGGAAGTCATAAAAATATAAAGTTTTACAAAATATATCAATATCTTATATTTATATGAATCTCTTGTCAACTGTATGTTTTCTCACTTTCACAGTGGTGATAATAGTATTTACCATTGTGGGATGAATAGCATTGTGGGATGAATCAGTGGGGAGGGGAGAGGTGGGGAGGGGGGAGGGTGGAGGACGGGAAAGGCAGCGGAGCACAACAGACACTAGTATGGCAATTTGTAAATCAATGGATGTGTAACTGATGTGATTCTGCAATCTGTGTATGGGGTGAAGGTGGGAGTTCATAACCCACTTGAATCAAAGTGTGGAATATGATATGTCAAGAAATTTGTAATGTTTTGAACAACCCACAATAAAAAATTAAAAAAAAAAAAAAAAAAAAAAGCCTGGTACATATTCAATGCTAATACAAACATTCAAATTCCCCAAATTTACAGATTTAATGGTTTTTTAACCTGTGATTCACTGTGCAAAGTTATGTTCTTAAAAGTAACTGAAGTTTTATTAAACATATAATTATTGCATACCATAGATGATATATATCTCTTTTAATTGCTTTACTGCAATGTTGTTAAAAATAGTACTTTTTTTTTTACTGTGCAATGAATAGTTAGTGGGTAACGCTAAGAAATACATAGATGAAAATGTTCTTTGAGGTTTTTTTTAGCCAAATGATTTAATATATATTATGCTTTCACATAAACAGGACCAAAAATGAATTGCTCTTTTAATATCACTTTATAATATTCTTTGCCCACAGGCATGAGCCAAATCTTTACTACCTTCTGACAAATACTGGATTTGTGGTTTAGGAATTATTACATCAAACAGAAAACCTTTAAGTGTAATTAGCATCTATTAGCTTATTTTCAAGCATTTGCTGTACATTATTTGACACAAGGGTCTAGTAAATAATTTTAAAGAGCATTTTCGTGATTGCAGTGGAAGAACAATAATGTGGAAACTGGAGTATCAGAGCTGATGAGAAGAGCTCTGAGGAGGCAGGATGATGAGAGACAGTTTAAAACAAAGAGGACATCAGAACCCTGTGGATGGAGGGACAGCATATTATGGTGGGGTAAGCATGGGCTTTGGGATCCGGCATTGCTCATCTCAAAAACAAGTTCTGTGACCTCTGGGTCCCAACATCTTCATTTACAAATACAGGTATGCATCACTTAATGATGGGATGTATCTGAGAAACATGTAATTAGGTGATTTTGTTGTTATGTGAACATCTGACTGTGCTCATGCAAACTAACATGTCTACACTGTTGCTAGGTGATATAATCTTATGGAACCCATTTCTTAAACTTGATTCATCACTGACTGAAATATTGTTATGTGGTGCATGACTGTGTGAATTTCATTATGTTGTGAATATCACATGGGATAGTGAACAGATAACAATAGCTATGGCTTACTGAGTATACCATGTACCTAGCCATGTACTATAATCACTGCATAGAGTAATCTGCAATAGACAAGCTGGGCCCAGTACCAAAGCCTTTGTATTTGGAGGGTGTAATCTCTGCCACGTGGCTCTGTCCCTGACCTAGCCTCTCTCATGTCTGGGTATTAAAATGCCTATGAATACAAATGGAAAGAATTATTTTTATGAAAAGCTTTGTAAGATTGATATGCAATGTAGCATCCCCCTGGAATTTCGCTAAGGGATTTATATAAGAAGACCCAGGTGATCCTCTCTCACTTCTCAGTGCATTGCACAGCTTCAGCAGTGTGAGGAATCCCAGCTGAGGTGAGTTGGCTGATGAAGTGGTCCTCAGTGAGGAAGAGAAAGCAGGTAGGGGTAGTTAAAATATGGTGTATGGTGTATGGTAGCTCTCTATGCTCTCTAGACAGCATCCAGCCTACTAGCAAGGATGTCTCGAAAAGTGTCCTTGAAAGTGCACGGAAAAAAATCAGAGTTTGGTGCAATGATGGGGTCGGGTCCTGCATTACAATTGAGAGTGAAACAAAATAAAATCAGATTTAAAAGTTCTGGACCTTTTCTTGCATTTCTTAGAAATATTATTGTTGTATTGATATACAACAATAGAGCATATTGGGAGAAAAATAAAAATACTGTGGCTCATTTTTCTCTTATGGTTCTCTAAATTCAACGAGCATCCCTGCCAAACTTGTTTATGTTATGACCTCTTACTGTCCTGATGACTACTATTAAAATAGTCACTTAGGCATGCATTGCTTCAGATTTCTGATAATTTGCATTATATGGAGATTGGAATTGGCTATGCATGGAATCTAGTTTTTGCAGTAATTTTAAATGTGTCCAAAGTGTGAATAGTGTGTGTTCATGCTTCAAGTATAGTTTAATTGAGAAAGCACTGTAGTGATTCCTACTCAGTGGGCCGTGGATATACGAAGACCTAGTATCATTTCAAGTCATCAGAAAATTGATTTACACAACAAGTGTTAGAGAATAATCTTCATGCATGTGTACTTACTGCTGTTTTCATAATATATAATGTTTGAAAAAATTAAATACTAGTTTATTTAAATTATCTTGAATGTTCAGTGGCTTTTGCTATGTGCTTTCTTAGATTGCTAATGCTAAGGTATAACATGTGGTTTGAGAAGTTTCTTGATAGTAAGGTAGAGGGACTTGTACTCTGAGAATATTAAAAGAAACAAGTGATATATTTCTGGGGCATGTGTATCTCTAGTTATTGACAAAATGATAAAATGTCCAAATATATATCCTTGCTAATTTAAAGAATATCTCTCTGTATGCATGTGTGTATGTATATGTGTGTGTGTATTTACATTTTATAGACATTTACATTTTACCTGTGATTCTACTCACAGTGTCACTTATAAAACTATCTGAAATATTTCATTACACACCCATTTAGAAGTAATTAAGTGTTAAAGATATTAAGAAAGATGAGACATTTTCTTCATCCTCAAATAGTCTGCACTATAGTCGAAGAAAAAAGATGTATAGGACTAAATAAAAGATCACAAGTCGGTGAAAGAGTCTAGGAGGTGAGAGTGTTTACAGAGACCATACCAGAGGTAAACTCCAACTTAGAGAAAGGCACAGTGTTGAATGGTTGTATGAGTTCATCACAGAGGCCATAGGGGCTATCCAGGGAATGACAAGGTGTCTGGTATGACCTGGGACTCTGGCCAAATAAGTAGCAACAAAAGGGTATATATTCACAAATTTTTGAATAATGTTTGACAAAGATGCCAGAGAAATTTAGTGGAGTAAGAACTGCTTTGTCAACAAGTGGATCTGCACCAAATAGCATCCATGGTGGGAATGCAGGGGGATAGGGAGGCAGACTGGGGACAGACTTGACCTAAGCCTCACACCTTATTAAAAATTAACTTAAAATGAATAATAAATATAAAACTATGAGGCTTATAGAAAAAATACAGGAGAGAAATCTTTGGGACTTTGTACCAGGCAGTGTTCTTAGATTTGACACCAAAAGCATAATCCATCAAAGCAAAAATTGACAAGTTAGAACTCATAAAAATTCAGACCTTTCACTCTGAGAAAGACCCTGTGAAGAGGATGAAAAAACAAACTATGGACTAGGAGAAAATATTTGTAAACCATATATCTCATGAAGGATTAGCATTCAGCATATATAAAGATCTCTCAAACTCAAGAGTAAAAACACCAACATTTCAACTAGAATATGGTTAAAGACATGAAGACATATTTCCACAAAAAAGATAGACAGTAATTAAGCCCACTAAAAGAAGTTTGGCATCATTAGTTGGTCACTAAGTAAATGTAAATTGCAACCACATGAGAAACTTTATACTAGCAAAAGAACTAAAATAAAAATCATGATAACACCCAGTGCTGGAAAGAATGCAAAGAAACCCGATGAGTATACATTGCTGGTTGGAGTGAAGATGGTACAACAGTCCCCTGTACTACAGTGGATACTGTTCAAGACCTCAGTAGATGCCTGACATGACAGATAGTTTTTAGCCCCATGGGTGCTATTCTTTTTCCTGTATGTACATTCCTGTGATAAAGCTCAATTCAAAAATTAGGCACAGTAAGAGATTAACAACAATTAGTAATAAAATAGAACATTTGTAACAATATCCTGTACTAAAACCTATGCGAGTATGGTTTCCTATCTCAAAATATTTTACTGTACTGTACTCCCATTTCTGATGAAATGTGTGATGACACTTAATAGAAGTATTTAACAGCTTCTCTTTGGCATATCCAAATTGCCAGCATCATTACTCTTGTGCTTTGGGGCCATTATTAAATAAAATGAGGGCTACTTGAACGCGGTGATACTGTGACAGTGAATCTGACAACTAAGAAGGCTGCTAAGTGACCAACAGATGACAGTCTGTCCAGCACGGATGCACTGGAGAAAGGGATGATTCATGTCCTATGCAGCAAGATGGGTGGGGGGTGCTGCTTCGAGATTTCTTCACACTACCAGAATGGCACAGAATTTAAAACTTATGAATTTTTTTATCTCTGGAGTTTTCTAATTGATACTTTTGGGCCATGTTTAACTGAAGTTGACTGAAACTGAAAAAATCAAAATATTGAATAAAAGAGACTACCGTACAGCTTTTCTGGAAAAAAAGAAGTACGGTAATTTCCTATAAAACTAAATATACAACTTCTATATACCCTGGAGAGTATAACTTTGAATATTTATCCCAGAGAAATTATAATTTTTACCTACACAGGGCCTGTGTATCCATGTTCATAGCTACTCTATTCCCGATAGCCCTAGTTCTAACTAGCCTGATATCTCCTACTAGGTGAAGAGTTAAACAATCTGTGGCATCCACATTCCATGAAGTTGAAAAGCCAATTTCAAGAAATTACAAATGATGTATTTCCATTTATGCAACATTTGAAATGACAAAATTATAGAGATGGAAAACAGGTTAATAGTTGCCAGGGGCCAGAGAAGGGGAGTTAGAAGAAGGGAGACATCTGTGGCTGTAATAGTGTAAATTTAAAAATCCTTTTAAAGATACTATTCTGTATCTTTGGTGTGGTCACACAAGTCTACAAATGTGATGCAAATATGTAAAGCTAAACACACACACAAGTAGGCATGTAAAATGTGCAATGTAAATGAGGTAAGTGAATTGTATACATGTTAATTTACTAATTGGGATACTATACTATAGTTATGCCAGATATCACCATAGGGGAAAGAGGTAGAAGGATATTTAGATCTCTTTGTATTATTTATTATATCTGACTGTGAATCTGTAATTTTATCAAAATAAAATTAAAAAAAGAGTGTGAGGATGATATTGCTCAAAAAGGAAATTCAGGAATATTACTGAGTTCATTCAAAGGGAATGAATGCCACATTTAAGATTTTGAACATCTTATATAAGGCAAGAAGGAAACTTAAAGAACATTAAACAGGGTAACAATAAATACAACTAGTTTTTGAAGGGCACCTTAGGTAGAAATGTGAAAGATTTAATTAAAAGACACAAGACAGGAGGCAGGTAAGGCTATTATAATGGCTAAAGTGACAAGGACCTCAAATGCAGAAGACATATGAGGCACAGAAAAGATGATGGATTTAAGAGGTTGCACCTGTAGAAGTGAGAAAACTTGGTGATTAGCTGAACACATAATTAAGGAAGAGGGAGATGTCACTAGAAGGAGCCTTTTGAGATGTCAAAGAAAGAGGAAAACCTGGCTTAATGTGCCTGGAAATATTTAAATGAAGCTCCCCAGTGATCAGAAAGAGTACAGGTCAAAAGCTTGAGAGTGAAGCCATGACTTGAGGAACAAATTCAGATGCAACTTCCATGCAGATGATAAAAGAAAATGTATGAATACATAAGAATTTTGAGGCCATATATAGCCATCCATTGTTATCCACGGTGGACTGGCTCCAGAATTTCCAAATTCAAGGATGCTCTTATATAAAATGCATAGCATTTGCATATAATCTATGCATACCCTCCTGTGTACTTTAAATCATCTCTAGATGATTCATATTACCCAATATAATATAAACTTTGTATAAATAATTGCTGTACCATAATGTTAAGAAAAAAGTCTATACATATTTGGAATAGACAAAAAGTTTATTTTTCAAATGTTTGATTCACAGTTAGATGAACCCTTGGATGTAAAATCTACAGATAAGGAAGGCTGACTGTATATGAAAAGGAGGTGAGGGTCGACCATGGAACTCTAGCAAACAATATATATTTTAAAATTTTCTATTAGTGACTAGCAAACAGTATTGTAAAAGGAAGGATGTCAGTAAAATAAAATGAGGTAATGGTTAGAAAAAAAATGGAGGCGAATTAAGAAAAGGTAGATTAATTCAAGAAGCAAAAGATAAGATTCAAGAAATGCTGCAGTCAATAGTGCTGCTATACATCTGGAAGGGAGAGGAGAGCCTGAGGGATCATCAGATTTACCAATTAGGAGTCTATTGATGCTGTCTGAATTAAGTACTAGTAATAAAGATCAGAATTCACATTTCAAAGGATTAAAGGGTGAAAAGGCAGCAATGAAGTGAGAGTTAGCTGTGTGGGTTAATTTTGCAAAACTTTGGAGATGACAGGGAGGGAAAGAAAGTTTGCTTAGAAAGACTGAGATTAGGAAGTTCTTTTTGTTTTAAAGATTTCAGAATTGAGCATTGGAACATCTAATCAATGAGACAACCATAAAAAAGAGCAAATAATCCAATGAACAAGTACAGAAGAAATAGGGAAAGATGGATTCAAGAGAATAAATGCAGGGGTTTGCCTTAGAAAGAAGCTAGGGTATTGATGTTCCAACTGTACACTCTAAATCAATTAAAGACCTATTCATAATATGCATAAACTTTAATTTGTATTTTGTATTTGTTAATTTTTCAAAAGAGATTTAATGAGATTTACTATTATACACAGGGTTGTTTATGATAAAATTATTAAGAAAATCAACTAAGGGAGAATAAGGTTAGAGAAAATAAGACGAGGACAGGAATAATGTTTGTATGCAAAATAAGTCTCTGGCTCTTGCTGGAGGTTAGCTGCAATTTGGAAATTGGTTCATAAGAGCTTTGAAAGCAGTATCTGTATTTTCCAGTTCCCATAGCATCTAGAACAGTGATCAGCATACTGTGACTATTTTGGGAAATATCTTCCTTTATGGAATAATGCTGCCAATTACTGCAAATTCTCCATATTTGGTTGTTAAGCTAAAAAATGGTAAGAAAAATACAAAATGACTGGACAAGAGATGAATCATACTTACAATTTCATTGTAAGTGGGGTCAGTACATTTCGAAACAGATTTTGTTTTCCTCCTACGAACTTCACTGGGATATGGTAAAAGATAAAATTCAACATGTGCACTGGGCGCAGAGCCATCTGGGAGATGCTGCAAAGGAAAATGGTTATAAATATTAATGTGTGTTGCTATCAAAGAAAACAAATACATAGCTACTAAATATCCAGACCAAAGGCAGGATCAGGATTTATTACAGTTACTCTGTTTATCAGAAAATAAGAGAAAAATCAAAAGAAATACATCATTGCTTGAAAATTATCCCAACTACAGTTTAAAAGAGAAAAACCTCTCTATCTTAAATTAAGCGTTGTGTGAGAGAACTATGTTTGAAAGTCCATTAAACATAATTTACTGTAATTTTTTACAATAAAATTAAAATTTGCCTTTTTGGCAAATATGGTTAAGGGATGAATATTAGTCACAAGCAGAGACAGGAACTAGGTACCTCAGGATACTTGCTGCATATCACTTGAGAATCAAAAAAATTCAAGTTTAAGACAAAATGAGATATGGCATTTAATGATATGTATATGCATGTTATGACATCGCATTTTAAAGCAGTTTAGTTAAAATAGCAATTGGACCAACAACTTTAATATGCTTGCAAGATTTTAAAATGTATATTGTAATTTTATTATTTTAGTTACTTTTTAATATATTGGGTAATTCTTCTTAAATTATACCAAATGGAGCTCCAGATTTGACTCAGTAGCCGCCTCTTTTAAGAGCAAAGCCAAATGGATGGATTTCTGGACTCCTACCTAACTTTCCTGATTCCCCCTTTCCCTACCTTGGTTTCAGAACTTCCCTCCTTCTTTTATAACTTTTTCAAATCTATTACAGATATTTTATTTCTTAACATATGATTTGGAGAATAAGCCCATTTAAAAAAAAAATAGAAATTGCTATACTTGAAGGAAATGGATTCAACCTTTGTGATTTTTAAGTAGCCCAGCCTAGCTTCAAACTTGTAATCCTCCTGCCTCAGGCTCCCAAAGAGCTGGGATTACAGGTGTGCACCATTGTACCTTACTTCTTTGTGGTTTTGACCAAATGGAGAGAGTAAACAATACTAACGCTCTGAAAATCTAGTTTGGCAAAATGAGAAATGCTCATATAATTTTCATTTGATGATGATGATTTAAAAGTCAAACTTGAGGAAATTAAGGGTTTACTTTTGTTTATTATGTTCTAAATACATTAAACCGGTAATTTTCTTTCTTTTTTTTTAAATTTTTTATTGTTGGTTGTTCAAAACATTACATATTTCTTGATATATCATATTTCACACTTTGATTCAAGTGGGTTATGAGCTCCCATTTTTACCCCATATACAGATTGCAGAATCACATCAGTTACACATCCATTGATTTACATATTGCCATACTAGTGTCTGTTGTATTCCGCTTCCTTTCCTATCCTCTACTATCCCCCCTCCCCTCCCCTC